CTGTCTTGAGTAGAGTGGTTCTGTTGCCTGCATGTTTAGCTGGGATTTCCCAGCGCAGTTGTCCCTTACCCCTCTTTCCGCTTGCTGATGTAACCCCAGGGCTATCTGCCCTGTTCCTATCCTGAGGAGGGAAGAATTAAATTGACGTTGGTGCTGAGTGAAGTCTTATGTTTGAGCCTACCTGTGTAATGTGAGAGTGGTGTTGGGTCTCTATGCCTTTATCTGTCCTGTCCTAGACTCAAAACAGGATTCTTGGCAATTTTCTGCTGTCCCACTTCAAATGTTCTGTGATACGTGGCCTGTCTTGGGTACCTTTTCCATAGCCCAAAAGGCACAGGAACTTTAGTTCCGCTGGAGATTTTCAGGAACAGCATGATGTTTAACAAGGTTCTCTTTCTTGTCATATTCCAGATTTGATCCCGTTCTTTTCACTTGGTCCAAGCTACTTATCTCACCGTCCCTTCTCCTGTGTATATCAGAAATGCACCTATCCCTGTGCTTCCACAGCACCTACTTACTGTTCTTACCACCCCTCTGCCCGTGTTGCTCAGTGGGACAGAAGTTCTGACTGCAGGGGTAGCATGTTTGTGCGTGGTCTTCTGTGGATATTTCTACTGGAAGAGGCCAGTTCACCTCAACTCACCCTCATGCAGCTTGCTCTTGTGTCTCCTAGCGGTGGGACTGCCACCCCGTAGCTCTGAGCAGGAGTGGCATCCCACTCCCCCAGAGTGTCAAGCTGAGTCTAGGCCTTACTTTTGAAAGCAATCCTGGAACCTTGAGAGTCTCTGGCGAACTTTTCTCCAGCGTTTCCATTAAACAAGGGGAGAAATGGGGGAGCGTACAATGGTAATAAAGTTGGCACATTGATCTCCAGCATACTGATGCAGGAAGGCTCCAGTAAGGATGGGGAAGCAGAGCAGCCCAGCCTAGGCTTACTTGCTCTGCAGTAACTCACAGTTGCGTAGTTCAGCTGTAGCCTTCCCTCGCTGCTCTAACTTGTACTGGTCTGAGATTGGAAAGCTGTTGGCTGGCTTTCACCTTCTCTCTCTTCTTCTTGTAGCTCTGGATGACTGGGGGAGAGGAGCTATTCCTCAGAGAAGTTCACCCTTATGCTCAGGCTGGAAAAAAAACCCAAGATGTTTCCCTGTCTTGGTGTACCCACAAGTTAGCTGTGCGCAAGGCAGGTAGCGTGTCAGAACTGCACTTTGGCCCCTTGCTTATATTAGTGGGAGAGGATGCAGCTGTAGTGGCATTTGGACTAGTGCCAAGGTGCAATGAGAAAGAAGATAGGGCCAGCTATTGTCATCCGGCTGGTCATCTGCTTCAGTTAAAACAAAAATGTCACCGGATAGGACTAGAGCATTTTCAGTCACAGACCTACTTTCCACTGTTTGCTTATTCCTGAGTTCATAATTTGTTCCCCTTCCAAGAGCAAGAAGCTTGTCTGCTAACAAACACATACATAAAAAAAACTTATTTTGGCTGAAGACCACCACTCAGAGCAAGTTGTTTGGGGGAATCAAATTAATTATTTGGGCTAGTAGTCTCCGCATTTTTTTTTTTTACCAACTGAACCACTTTAAGCTCCTAGAATTTCCATTACTTTCAAACTTGACAAACTGGAAGTGTTAGTTTGTAATGCTGCATGACTCTGGTATTTCCCTCTCTAGAACTCCACAGGAAGCTGGCTTCTAATTTGCACTTCTTGCCCTGGCAGCGCAGAATGGGTCTCCTTCTCTTGGTGCAAACTCTCCAAGCACAGGGGAAGGAAAGGAGAAAGAGATAATTGTCACTGGAATAAGTCCAGCCAAGAAGAAAAATCATTCTGTGCCAAATGCTATCACTGCTGAGCTCCAGACACTGTTGGAGAAGAGCTGTGCTCCCCTCCCACACCTAGCCACTTAGCTAAATCACAGGGATGAAGCTGCGCCCTGTGTTTTCACTCAAAGCACAGGAGAGACCAGCAAGCAAACTCTGTGCTTCCCCTGTGCAGCTTGTGTGTCATGTCAGCTGGGGACAGATGACCAGGGTGACAAGCAACCACCCTCTTGGAAGCTGTGGGGCTTGCTCTGCTCCAGTTCTTCAGCCCTGATTAATTCTCTGTGCAGCAGCAGCTGGAAGCTGAATTGTTCTGTACTGCCAGAAATTCAGCGTTCAGCAGAGAGCTTCAGCATCTCCTTTTGCTGACAGAGAGGGATGCGCTTTTGCAGGGAAATGCATGCATGCTGCAGTTCCAGGGAGCATGCTGAGCACGCAGCCTTAGTGAAGTCCTTGTGGGAGGGCATCTCTCAGCACTTACTCAAGTCCTCTAGTTATCAGGACAAGCCTTACAGCCCTATCATGCCAGACTATCTCTGCCTTTGTTTCCTGCCATGGTTCTTGCAGAAAATCTAAAATAATTTTCTCCCTCCTCCTTTGCAGCAAAACTGAAATAATCTCCCCCTCCCTCCCCATCACCTTCCAATTTTGAGGAAGGGTAGCTCTGTGAGAACTGTGTAAGCCCCTTAGTAAAGCTGAAATAGCCCTTCAGTAAAGCTGAAATAAACGTATAAAGCTGTCAAATTTTTGACAGAGGAAGATAAAATGTATATTAAAGCATCTATGACCTCCTCCTCTTCTCTGCAGTACCCGGGAGTCCAACCCTTCTTGCAATCCATCCTTGTTGCACTAATTGTTGTTTTAGTTGTATTTTGGGTTACAGGTAGGCTGTTTCTTCTCCCATTTTTTTTTCCTTCCTGCATCTAGTCTCATTCTAGCTGCTCCTTGTCCACTGTTTTTCTCCGTTTGTGTTAGCTCTTAATGGCATCGTTCTACAGAGTCAACACTCATTCCTTGTGCCCCCAGCAGCAGGTAAACAGTAAACCACCTTCCTCATACCAGTTGGGTATCTGCACATGACAAGGAAACAATATCTAGTTCTTCATAAAATGCCACTGCCAAATTTCCCTCTACGTAGGCCTTAATTAGGTTTAGTGAACCATTATCTGAGCATAAAGCAAGGCAGGACGCTTGTCTCCTCAATGTGCTCTTGCTCCTGACAACAGGCAGTGAACATGCCGGCACTAGGGCATCTTCATCAATGCTTCTGGGCTGCTGCTGTCAGCTGAAGTGGGACATGTCCCAGGGGCTCTCCTCCAAGCACCTCTCTAATAATAGCCTGTTTAACAAAGCATGGGTTAATTAGTGCCTGGAGGTAATTGTGAGGTGAGACTGAGTGCAGTCTTCCAGTCGACTTGTACAGATCAGCAGCTGGTATTTCCTCATCACTTCCCTGCCCACCATGCTGACATCCAGCCTCTGCCCCTTGCAGCCCTGCAATATGTAGAATCCCGTTCCCCCCCGGACCATTTAATGTGACCTTAGAGATCAGTCGCTCCTTTTTTTGAAAGCCATCACCTTACCACAACTGTATGCTCGCAGCTGCTGCTCATATCTCAGATGTATTGCCAGGCCAGTGGTCTGGTCTTGGTGCAGCTTGCAGGTACAGCATCAAGCCCATGCACCCCTGTGCAACAGGGAAACAGAGAGAGGTGTGTAGATAGCTCTAGAGAACAGCAATGGATTACTCGAAGGGTATGGTGACTCCTACACTGTAAATTAGATGCTACAGCCAAAGTCTTAAAGCTGACATCCGAGTCCAGCTTCTTATCTGCCGCTCCTCTTGTCTCATTCAGGACTTACTGTGCAGCCCTCAGCTCAGGTGAGCTGCTCCTCCATTTCAATGGAGGGAAATTGCTTCACAGCCCCTTCCACATCCTTTTTTCCCTTGCTTTCCATCCCCTTTCTCCCGCCCTGACCTGCAAACCAAGCAGAGGAGCCTGGGTTTGTCCTAGAGTTACCCACCCGACTGGAATTCACTTGAGCGCTGCTATACGCAGCAGTCAGATTAGTTATGTGCAGAAAGCTGCCTACTTAGGCGGTTTAACCTAATTTCCACATCACTGGCTTCCTTTTTCAGCTCAGTGGAGTTGAAAACACAGGGGCCGCGCTTCCTATTTTTCTCCAAGTACAGGATTAACCGATGCGGGGGCAGAAGGGACAAATCCCTCTGAACCATACCTGCAAATTAGCAGGGGGTGAGGTACGCCACTCACACCTCGGGTCAGGCTGAGGGTGAAGGCTGCGTGCTTGCAGCAGTATGGAA